GTCTGTGCTGCATTTCTATCAGAGTTAGAGTACAAGTGAAATGTAATTACAGCCAAAAATTGATAACACACACACACACACACACACACACACACACGCACAAAAATGGCCAAGAAAATGTGCTTGAATGTGGGCCCTCTGCCAGCGAATGTAATTAAAGCCTTGACTTGACTCTCTCCGTTCGAATGGGCGGGCATGGATGGGCGGGTTGAATTGTGTGACTTAAGATGTGATCTGCCCTGCCATCGAACTAGGTCAGCCACAGCTAAAGCCACATGGCTTGGCTGTAATTATGCTAATTAATAGGCCAAAAACTCTACTTTAAAATCTCCATATCTCCAGCTCTTTGCCTCTAACTCTCTGCTGTGCTCAACTTCAAGGATAAACTCTGGGACAACTACTTGCAATGCAAAATCGTAGGGCACACAAAAAACATAAAGAAGAGAAAGCTGCTAAGACTTTGCAGGCAACTCATGGAAAATAACTCTTTTTTTGATCGGTTAATATAAAGCAATGAGCAAACAAATATTCATATGGAATGTAGCCACAGAATGGAGCCGCTAATAATATTAATATTTGCACGCATACCCGTACATACGCAAAGCTCCGAAATTCCTTGGCAATTTCAAGCAAATGAAGCAATTAAGTCGTGTGCAATGATGGCTGCACCCCTCCGTCGCGTCGCTTTATGGGAATTATAATAGCTAATGCATGGAGCGGCGCATATGCATGGCTGAATATACGAGTACAACAAGTTTATGTGTAATTATTCCTAAGCGAGCTATTGAAATGAGGGCTTTTGCCGTACAGAACAGAACACACAACCCTGGCACTGCCAGGCCTGCAAAACAATGGGCCTCTGTTGGCCCTGAAAGTGGAAGAAAAATAAAAAAAGAAAAAATTATAAATATGTTCGTGTGTGTGTGTGTGTTTGGATATCAAATATTTAAAACGCAACGTTCCGAGCAAAAGCGGACATGAGCGGCCGGGCAATGTAATAAAGTTACGCCTTCCTGCCTTCCTGGCTGACTGCCTGACTGCCTGATCCACGCTGGTGGAGCTCTCCCGGGTGCAACGTCTGTCCCTAACCATTCCGTGAGTCCTCCTGTCATTGAAAATGAGTGTAATTTATGTATTAGCGTGTGTGTGTGTGTGTGTGTGTGTTGTCTGCCGCATAATAAAACATGCAAAAATATGCAAATTGCCGCAGTCAACGCGATGAACTTTCATTACGCCTTGTTCTCGTCATTCTAAAGAGCGTTTTCCGTTCCGTTTCGTACGTTGTTGTGAAAATCGATTATGAGTAAGTCACTTAAAGAGTTTATCGAACTTTATGCCACACAGAGGCACAGACTTTATGCTTGCAGCGTGGCTTACTGGTAGACTTGCTCTGAGGGCTGAGTGCATAGAGAGGCTCCAGCAGAAGGAGCAGGATAAGGGTACGGTGAGTGGAGTCCCAAGAAAAGTCGAGGAATGGTTGGATGGTAGGTGCATAATTTTTGCACGCTAGATTGTCATTTAAAATGAGTTAAGTCCCGGCAATTGCTGCAATGCGGAAAACTTCTCTCAGTTCTCGCAGGTCTCTCGGTGAGAGCTGTGCAGCACTATCTGGCCGTTGCGCCGCTGTTCGTTGGACGTTTGGGTCGTCGGGTCGTCAGGTAACCTGGCGTTATAATGAGCAAACAGTAAAAGCAAACGTCGCTGCACGAAACAATGACGAGAAGGAGACCGACAGACAGGCAGAGCAAACGATAGAGGAAAGCGGCAAGGGGGAACGGGTAAAGAGTGGCAGGGGCAAAAGGAAAGAGCGAGAGAAGGACACCAGAGAAAAAAGAAAGAGACACACACACAAACAAAAACCAATTAGATGCAACGTGCACGGAGGCGCCACACAGCGAAGGCCAAAGGTGGCAGCAGCCACTTTTCCGTGTCCCTGTCGATGTTGTGACAAGCGACGGACGGGTTGACTGCTACTGAGTCGAGTCCTGGCCATGTGTACCTGCAACTGAGCAAGTGGCTAGTGGGGGATAGTTGGGCATAGTTGGGGGGTAGGTAGGGTTCGTCCATTGTGCAGCTTGTTAGCCAAGGAGAAAAAATAGAGAAAGAGTAACCTAAAATAAAGCTATAGCAATGACAACTTTCGGTCGCTATGCTAATTGCATTCTCTGTGTTAATCACCTGCCATTCAGCTGCGTTTTTCCCACCGTTTGTGCGCCGTTTGTGCACCGTTTGATATCTTTAAAAAGTGATAGATGGAATAGTTTGCATTCATTCTTAGATTAAATGACAGCTGTTGCAGGAGATGAAGTAAATATTTACTTTATGCTGTTGCAGTTGTTGTTGTCCTTCCTTCTGCACTGTGGAATAATTTGAAAGGCTCTCTACATGAGGAGATAAAGAAATATGGAATTTAAATATATTTTTCTAATTTAAAAATGGATTTACAAATGCCAATAAACAAATGGACATCTAAAAGTGATATAAGCTGTTCAAATATATATCCATAAATATGGATCAATTCCTAGGGTAATTCCTGGTTAAATAAAAAATAAAAAACAATACAATTTTCCAAGAAAATCGATAAATAAAATATTTTCAACGCGCAACTAAAACATTCTTCTAAAAAATATTTAAAAATGTAATATTTAAAATTAAAGATTTTGATTTAATTCTCTGCAAGCTTCCCTAACTTTGGAAATGGTTTTATTGGCCGTTAGCATCACCTGTCCCCCGTTTGTGCCAACTCCCACACCGTCCCCCAAAATGGTGCTGCCCCTCCCCTACCCTTGAAGTCGTTTTCGTTTGTCGAGTGCCTCGCAGCGGATTCTTGGCTGTTTTTCCCGGACACGAGCCGACTTTACTTTTCACTCACCGCGTGACTTTTACAGCCTCTTAATTTAAGCACTCGCCTGCAGCAATAGCTCCAGGGGGATGGGCTGTAATGGCCCAAACGGGGATGGGTGGGGGGCTTGGTGGGTGGCACCGAAATTAATTTGTTGCAGACTCGTGCTTTTAATGTGGCTTTTTATTGATTTAATGTTGTTTTTGCGCCTACCCCTACCCTGCGCTACCCCCCACGCTTTCTTGTCACGTAATTTTCGTTTTCTATTCGATTTTTTGTTTGGTGATGGAAAAGCAGCCACGCCCATGTGCCTGTTGTTGAAATTTGCATGCCACATGAAATTCTATTGAAAATGAGGCCAGCCACCCTTGCTGGGATTTCGATATTTTTCAAGTTCCAAAAATATATTTAAACAGAAATATTATATTAACGAGGGGGGACGTTGCGAGGCACCTCTTCCTCTATACCCGGTACTTAGTTAGTATAAATGTGAGCTTATTTTGTTTTTCGAATTATAAATTCTAATTCTAATTCGTTTAGATAAAGCCTTACATACTTTAGCATTAGATATGTGCTATGCCACAGCCATTGCTCAATCATAACATCACTAGTTTGTCGTGCTTGGATCAACATCCTCGATAGTATAGTGGTCAGTATCCCCGCCTGTCACGCGGGAGACCGGGGTTCAATTCCCCGTCGGGGAGAGATGTGAAAATCTTTTTTTTTTCTTTTTTTTCTTATTTTATTAGAAATAACTACATAAATAAACTAAACAAATAAAACATTGTACAACTTTCGCTATGTCTGCATATCTCCGTGTGTGTGTGCGTCTGACAGGCTGACTCCTTCCGTCTCGCAATCACAATTTTGATAAATTAAAAAGATAAAGCCATCTGCAGTTGGCTTTCTCTCGTGCTGCAGCCATAGAATGAATTATATGTAAATAAATAAAATACTTGTTATACCGAACAAAGTTGAGACCCCGCCCTGTCCCTTGATCAGCTATCTGGCAGTCCGCCGAATGCTGCCTGCCCCTGAGTCTGTCTGAGTCTGGTGCCTGTATCTTGGAAGATGCATGGATAATGCGGCACTTTGTCGGGACTCTGCTGCCTGGGCCCTAAAGTGGCCTGAGTGCGAGCGGAGTGGACTGTGGGGATCAGACATCCCCGCAGAGCAATCGATGATTGCATTCGAATCGCCAGAGTCTGTGTTTGGGTAATGTATAGACTGGAAGGGGGTGGTGGGCGGTTGGTTGGTTGAGTTTTTGGAGGCCGACGGCAAAGCCATTTCCGGCCAGACAATAAACGGGCGCTCGGCATTTCCGTTTGCAATGTTGTTGCTGCTCCTGTTTTTCCATATTTCCTTCTTGTGTTCATGCTATTGAAGCTCCGACAATGGACAAGCCAAAGCCAGAGAGCCGGCGACATGCCCATGCCCAAGCCCAAGCCAATTCGCTGCACAAACGAAAATCAAAACAAAACAACAAAAACAACAAAAAACAAAAAAACAAAAAAAGGAATTCCCAGAAAAAGAAAATCTCATTTATCTTCGCTGGGGCCGCAGGGGCCTCCGTCCGATACCGATACCGAGACCGAGGTCTCGAGGCTTGTCGAAAAGTTTTCCCTCGTTGTTCCTGTCGTTTAGCTTAATGGAATTTGGCGCGCACATTCGGCCAGGGCCAACAGGGCAGCGCAGGGCAGCGCAGGGGCCTACGAGTATGTGTAATGATTTGTCCCAGACAATCAGCAATTGATGAAAATTGCATGAGACATATTTCTAATGTGTTTTCCATTTCGCCAAGAACAAACAACACAACAACAGGGCATTCAAATGCTCTGCATAAATAATTCCATGGCACAAAATTCAAAGGAAAATCGTGTTTGTTTTTATGCAGTTAACAGAATGTGACACATAATTGAAATTTATTTTCAAATAATGCCACTGAAAAGTGTTTGCAAAATGGATAATAAATGCTTTCATTTAAAGTTTTTTCTTTCTTTTTTTGGTTTGCTGTTGGTTTAACTTTATTTCTGGTTTTAGTTTTGCCTTGGAAAATACTCGCATTATTTATTATTAGTTCATCAATTGTTTACTCTATTTCTAATAATTTTATGTGTGATATTTTACTAATCAATATTATTCTTCTCTTGCTTGGCAGATAATGAACTTTATTCGGGCACGGTGGCCGATTTCAGCGGCAGTGATCCCATTATCTATCGAGAGCCACTGCAGACCGAGCAGTACGACAGCCTCAGTCTCAACGGTAAGTTGTAACCACTTCTCATAATTGAAAACGTCAAGACTGTCATGATAATGCCTCTACGCGTTCGCTTCAGTCATTCCCCCCCCCCATTCCCATTCCATTTCCGGTTGCATCTGAGAGGTCCGTCCCCGTACCGCCTCTCATTGTCAGTGGCCTCTGCTCATGGCCTGTCCTCTTGTCCTGCCCGCCTGCTGTCATATGGCGATTGCGTGCGATTGCCTTTTGCATATTTCAAGGACCTGCTCGGTTTCTCGCTCGCTCTCTCGCTCGCTCGCTTTGCCATGCACAGCTTCCATTAACTGAATCTGAATAGACATTGGCACGTTCGACTGTCATTTACCATGGCCCCCCCGTCTGTCCTTCCTGCTGTCCGTTCGTCAGGGTTCATAATTTATGTGGTTGCTGCACGAAGGGGTGTGAGATGAGGCCCGCCTGCTGGCTGCTCGTGATGGCTGTGAATATATCATAGTGTCCAGTGACAGAGTCGAAATATTTATATTTATATTTATCGTTATCCGTAACCTTATTCTAGATATATATATTCGCAATTTAAAGTCAAGAGCAGCCAATGGGTATATTTGCGGTGTGCTCCGCCATTTAATTTGACTTCTTGGAACATGTACAACCGAATGACCCACTTATTCCCGAAATATTCATTACGTAGTCAAGCTTCACTTGTCCCTAATCGTGCCTTAATACGTACCACGAAATGAATCCATTCACATTCACATGTTCATGGCCCAACATAAACTTAATGCCCCTTCACTGAATCTGATATCAAATACCATCGGAGCCATGTAGGAGCCTTCATCGGTGGGGGGAAAAGCACGCGTCCCATAAATTCATGAAAATCGAAAACTGTCAGCGATAAAAATGTTTACAACAATCCGAAGGAGCAGAACTATAAATGCATTTAATGACTAAACTTTTTCTTTTTTTTTTTTTTACAATTTTTAGCCCCGAACTTTGTGAGCTCATTCACGCAGGGAGACTTTGTCTATTTCTTCTTTCGGGAGACAGCCGTGGAGTTCATCAACTGTGGCAAGGTGAGTTTTTCCATTCATTCCAGTTTTCGCCCAATCAGCTTAGACAACAGCCGCCGCAAAACAAAGGCAATCAACGGAGAGAACACATTCTGTTGCTGATGTTTGGCCAACGAAAAACCATTGTTTGTGGTCCGCAGATTGTCTACCCACACACCCACTCTACCCAGATATAATATTTATATTTTCATTCGATTTTCAGGCGATTTATTCGCGTGTGGCGCGCGTCTGTAAATGGGATAAGGGTGGACCGCATCGGTTCCGCAATCGCTGGACATCGTTCCTCAAGTCGCGCCTGAATTGCTCCATACCGGGCGATTATCCCTTCTACTTCAATGAAATACGTGAGTTTTCCCATTAAAAAAGAGAGACACAACAGAGTATTATTATAATATTAAATTTCATTATATTTCGCATGCTTAGAATCGGCCAGCAATCTGGTGGCGGGAGAGTATGGTTCGATGAGCTCCAAACTAATCTACGGAGTCTTCAATACGCCCGCCAACTCCATACCCGGCTCAGCTGTGTGTGCCTTTGCCCTGCAGGTGAGTGAACCCATTTGGAGTGAGTCTTGGAGCGGTACAAAATATTGAATGAATTCGTTTTTGCATGCTATCCGTAGGACATAGCGGATACCTTTGAGGGCCAGTTCAAGGAGCAGAGCGGCATCGGCTCCAACTGGCTGCCGGTAAACAATGCCAAGGTGAGTGAGTGCTTTCAGGCCAACAATAACTTTGGGTATACTTAGCTTCCAAGCACACAAGTTGGGGGCCTTGTGACCGCACTTGGACGCAGCTGTTGCCATGCTAAAATTTATGACTTATGGCCGAGCATGCCATAAAAATTGCTTCAAGGCAAATGTATTTTTCGTTTGGCATCAAAATTTGCATTTGCATTTGCATCTCGAAATGCTTTTGCCAATTTCGGGCCAGATGACTTGACTGCACATGTCGCCATCGATTTGGGGGCTTTTCTTCCGGCTTTTATTCTGTGAGTTGTGTGCGGTCAGGCGAGTGCTCAAGGGAAGGAAATTATGGGGAAAGATCAAGCCAAAGGTTCGAGCAAAAAACTTCAGCAGCAGCATAAATCTATATGCAAAGCTCATTTGGTGTCGGCTTGAACATAAATGTTTAGGGAAATATTTTGAGGTTTAAGAAAAACATTAAAGAAATATATTTGAATTTAGACATTAATGGGAATTTATTAGCTTAAAAAGTACAAGTACAAGATTATCTGAATACCCTAAAAAAAGGGTCATAAAAAAGAGTAATCACATGCGGAAAAAAACCAGTAACTAAACCCCATACCCCATCGCTGACTAATATTTTATTTAGCCTTATTTATTTCATGTATCTCATTCGCTTTCCATTTGCTGTTCGTATTTATTTTAGGTCCCCGAACCGCGCCCCGGCTCCTGTCACAACGATTCACGAACGCTTCCGGATCCGACATTAAATTTCATCAAAACACATTCGCTAATGGACGAGAATGTGCCGGCGTTTTTCGGTCAACCGATTCTGGTCCGGACGAGCACAATGTGAGTACAATCAAACAGCAGAGCCATGCAGCAGAGTCACTCTGCTTTTGGCTCATCTTTATTTCGTTACTCCGTTACATCCGTTTCCGGTGGTTGGCAAGGGTCCAAAAAAAAAAGGACCAAGGGAGCTCCGTCCGAGCTGGAATAATGCTGCGGCAGTGTACAAATTATTTGGCAGCGTTTAAAGTGCGGGAAAAACTGCACCATAGTTGTGCATTTGAATACGTGACGTCGCTAATTGGGGAGGATATATAATGATACACTTAGCTTCATTTTTTGTGGAAATGAGAGAGTAGTCTCTGCGGTAAATGTAAGAAGAGTTTACTCTGTTCTGACTTACTATAAGATCTCGACAAAAAAAGTTTAGAGGAAGCATCCAAGCTTCGAGCTGCCAAATACTCGTATTACTTATTTAAATCAAAGTGAAAGCAATCTTCAAAATCCAATTGGTTTTAATATGAATTTGATACAGCTTTGCGGACAGCTCTCTCGTTGCACCTAAGGCACTTGCAGCATATGCACAGGTTGCACTCGGTTCATACTTCAATGTTTCAGCACCTGTTCCGCATCCGCATCCGCACCCTCATCCCTCATCCACATGCACTCACGAAATGGAAATTGGCTAAAGGTGTTAGCCAGAGCATATAACCGTAAACTATAACAATCTGAACTTAAGGACGCAGTGGAAAGAGGCCATGTGGAGGGGCAGCACCGCCACATGACTCAGTATGCGAGGTGAGAGTGGATGTTGGTTCGCTCCCATAAATTATTTGGAAAGATTGTGCCAAGCGAGATGGCAGGCAGATGGGGAATAGAATTTAAAAATTCAATTTGGCAACTTTTCCATGTAATTGAGCCACAATTACGAAGCACTGTCGAGATGTGTGTGTTGTGGGGGCGGTAAAAGTGGTAAAACTTTAAAGAGGGTAAATCATAAGCGAGCCACTGAGCAGCAGCCCCTCGACCGAGAGTGGAGTGGTGTGGGGTGGGGTGTGGGGTGCGGTACAGGTGGAGCAGAGTGGCAGCAAGCTGCTGCTCCTCGTGCTGGTGGCTCTGTCCTGGCCTGGCCTGGCCGGGCCTGGCCTGGACTGCTGCAGTGAAGCGATAGTTTGAAGCAAACGAACCGAACCAGCCAGAAGGAAATGCATGGATGCGCCGAGGAGGCAACCCGTAACGAAAATATGTATGCACAACTGAATAAATTAGAATGAAATATGGAACACGTAGCAACAACGCAGACTGCCGACTACTACCTCCTCCACATCCACAGCCACAGCCACATCCACATCCACATCCTTATCCCCATACCCATTCTCATTGCCATACTCATACTCATTCCCATTCGCATACCCATTCGTGTGCCACATGAGCACACCACAACAAATGCACAGGGCAAAAAGGGTGCAGTGAGTGGATAGAGTGGGACAAGTGGTGTGCCAGTGGGTGGCTTGGCTTGGGGGGGTGGGAGTGGCCGCCCAGTGGTGCCGTGGAGAGCAGAATGGCCACTTTCTGCAACTGAATCATTGCATTTCGGGTCTGAGGCCGGCAACGGATGGGATGCGATGCGATGCTGTGGGATGCCAGAGACCAGAGACGGGCATGCATCAGAATTTAATCAAGACCCAAGACTCAATTCAATTGCATAAAAATGTGCAAAAGTTACTTGGAACATTTTCCTTTCTTTTTTTTTCGTTGGCTCAACTATTTTTATATGGAAGAGGGCGGGGGAGTGTTACCACTGGCGCATTTCCTCGCCAGCTTCCTGCTAACCCACATTTTGAATTAAATTCCCATTTAATGCTGGAAATCTCTATGAAACGTGAACCTAATATATTCAATATATTCAAGGCCTAGTTGATTGGCACTTTCGTTACAGCATCTTGCAGATCCATGCTAAAAAGATGTTTGGTAGCTGCGAAACACATTTGCAGTAAATACAAAAATTAAAACACATTTTTGAAGCAGATATTTTTCATTTGATTTATTTATTTCGGTAATTATTCACTTTGCAATAAATTCATAAATAAATTGGCGACACTTTATCCAAAGACCAAACCGGCATCTACGAAAAATACAATACTCTTTTTCATTTATTGGCTTTTGACTACTTTTCACCTTGAACTTTCTTCACTTTCTGGCACATCTGCAGCAGCTTTATTTGGCCATTTGGCCAGGTCGTAGCCCTCAAGAACAAAACCAACAATTTCATTTATCATATTTGGCATTTAAATTTTAACAATTCCAATAAATGATTGCAAATACCAAATGAAAACCCAAACGAGACAACCGCAAAGCGACGTCACAACGAGGTGCAAAGATTGCGGCAGGGCGATGCGGGGGACTGACTATTTATATTGAACACAAATGACAAAATCAAATCAAAAATTGCCCAAAAATGTTGCGTATGGCATTTTGTCGAGAGACAGAAATTTATTATAATTTCATTTGTGGCCAGAGCGAGGAGAATCGTTTGGCTGAGGGCGACCACTTCCGCTCTTCGAGGGCTGTCCATGCAGCAGGGGCGTGGCATAAATATAAATCTTGGATAGAAAGAAAGAAAGAACATTGGAAGGGACACAGACAGCACACAAAGCAGGAGGATTTGCATGCTGTGAGGGGAGTGGTTGGTGTGGGGTTGTAGCAGAAAAGTTTGCCGCAAGTTGAAAGTTGTAGCATCTCAGGAAAAGTTGAATGTTTCAGCAAGTTGGCAGCTTTGGCTCTGTTGCAAATTGCTTCCTGACTTGGACCGGAAGTATCCCATATTCAACTGATTTCTGGCAGCTGGCTGACCATATCCCGTGTCTCCAAAAGCTTCTCTTCCCCCTCATGCGGATGCCCTGTCCAGCCTTATCGTGTCTCGCCGTTCTTATCGCCAGGCAACGGCAGCAACGGCAGACCCACCTCAGGCGGCGGAGGCGGCGTCGGGTATTTGGGGAGGAAGGTTAACTTCCTTTCTGCTTTGTCTGTCCCTGGCCCTATACCCAACTTGTTGTTACTGTCATCGTCGCCCTCCAAAAACCCATCCGAGCGTTGCAAAAAGTTGGCAACATTTTTGCAAGTTTCAATTGCCCCCGGACTCTGGACTTTGACCCGAAGCTGGACATGTTTCTGGCCCTGACTTGGATCACAGACGACCCTACAAAGAGTCAGTCCGCCCCCCTCCACCCCCCTCTTTAAACAGTTTTCCCGTTTTCTATTTTGTTACTTGGAATATCTGTGTATTTATTTTGCATACATTCCATTCCACACTGTATTGGCGTGGCCCTTTGGCCTTTAATTTTTCTAATTTTTCTGGGCATAGGAGCTTTGTTCCTGGACATTATTCTGGCTCTGTTCTGTCTTCCATTTTAGTTTAAAATTTTAATGGAGTTTACTATTTAAAACGCCCTTTATTTCAATAGTATTTAACCATCAGTGTTTTATTTATTCATTTGCAAAGTAAAATTTATGTTACATAAATAATTGAACTCCAAATTTAAATTGAGAAACGTCACACATGGCAGTTGGCGAAAGCTTTAAACTTTAGTTGAGCAAAAAAAAACACACACAGAGAGATTAGTTAATTAACAATAAAAAGCAAAAGCCATCGGGGTAGGGACAGCTCTAGTCCTTGTCCTTTCTGCCAGTTGTGCAGCTGGACATTTGCATTTAAATCGAGGCAGGCCAGGCGGCGGCATGACAGCAACAATAGACATGGGGGCCAGGCCACAAATGTTGCAGCAACTAGCGGAGACATTCACGTTTTTGTGGTTAAATCAGAGAGAGAGAGAGAGAATTTTCGTTTTCGTTTTTATTTTCTACTTGTGTGTGTGCTGCTGTTTCAGTTACTGCGAATATATTTTTGTTACATATAAATACACATACAAATTGTTTGCCTCTTGTCCAACGACAATGTTTTTCCGTCTGTCTGTCTGTGTATCTGTATCTGTAACTGTGTTGGTGTAACTGCCACAGTGTCGTTGCAGTTGTGCGAGTAGCTGTGGCTGTGGCTGTGTCTGTGTCTGTGGCTTTCTGGCATTCTGTTTCTCGTAGCTTTTGTCAGCGGACAACAGCCAGCGACCATTTTGGCGTCTGTCCATTATTAATGGACATCTAACCAAAATGACAGACATCCATCCATCCCGTCCATTGTCAGTGGAACAGAACCGAACAGAACAGACGAAAACAATGTTGCAAAATAAAGAGAGAGAAAATAAATAAAGAAAATATCCATTGACATTCCTCGTTGTGTACAATAAAAAAACCAGAAGTAGCGACAGAAAAAGGGAGATCTGCTAGATCTAAATGAAATCGAATACCCCTGACAGCTGCAAAATTTAATTACGTCTCTGATAGATACTATAATAATGCTCGTTCTTGCAGTTATCGCTTCACCCAAATCGCTGTCGATGCGCAGATCAAAACTCCCGGCGGCAAGACATACGATGTCATATTCGTTGGCACAGGTGAGTAAATCATTGAATCATTGCAAAATCATTGAAAATTCATTCACTTTATCCACTGTATAGATCATGGCAAGATCATCAAGTCGGTGAATGCCGAATCGGCAGATTCCGCTGACAAGGTTACCTCCGTGGTCATCGAGGAGATCGATGTGCTGACCAAAAGCGAACCGATACGGAATCTGGAAATAGTGCGCACCATGCAATACGGTAAGTGGAATCCATGGAGTCCAAAGCAAACTCTAGCTAATACTGGCTTCTTTCACAGATCAACCCAAGGATGGCAGCTATGACGATGGCAAATTGATAATTGTGACAGACAGTCAGGTGATAGCCATACAATTGCATCGCTGTCACAACGACAAAATCACCAGCTGCAGGTGGGTCTGCCTGCATGCCAGAGTATAGAGACAGACTGGCTGGCATTTTTATTATCATGTAACAATTTGCGTGACTTTCATGGCATGTCGTGCGCCTGTCTGGCCACTTGACTGCCCCCCAATGTGCTGCGCATTTCACAATTTTTGCAATATATTTATGCACCGCTCCACTTACACGGTTTCCAACTCCATCTTCTCCCCATTCTGCAGCGAGTGCGTCGCCTTGCAGGATCCTTACTGTGCCTGGGACAAAATTGCCGGCAAGTGTCGCTCCCATGGCGCACCACGTTGGCTGGAGGAGAACTATTTCTATCAGAATGTGTCCACTGGCCAGCATGCGGCCTGTCCCTCAGGTGAGTCCCAGTCCCCAGTGGCAAGCAGTGTCTCGGCCGTTCCATCGAATGCGAAATTAAACTCTTCTCTGTTTTTTCCCCTCTCCCAAACTAGGCAAAATCAATTCAAAGGATGCCAATGTGGGCGAACAGAAGGGTTTCCGGAATGACATGGACTTATTGGATTCGCGGCGTCAGAGCAAGGATCAGGAAATCATCGACAATATTGATAAGAACTTTGAAGGTGATTTATCTAAACGTTTTAACTTTTTCCTCTCTCTCTCTTTCTCTGTGCTCATCTTTTTGTTGCCATATTTTGCTGTTCGTTTTTTGTATAATGCACGTACTTGCTTGTCACTCTTCCTGGGGCTGAGCTGAGCTGTGCTGGGCTGGGCTGGAGCTCCCTTTCTCTGGCCCCCTCTCTTAGCTATCTCTCTCTCTCTCTGCTATCTCTCTGTATCTGTGTACCTGCGCTAACCTGTATCCCGCCCTGGAAGCCCGCACCCCTCGCCTGTTGTCTTCTGTTGCAAATCACAATTTCATTTTGCCTGGATTCCCCTGACTCCTCCGTTGGCTTATTGCCACTTTATGCTATTCAATTTGAATCCTAAATGTTCCCCATGCACTTTATTTCACGCGGCAAATGCGAATGCACTCGTGTATATTTTCTGTTTAGCTGTTGAAGTCAGCTTTCGAATGGTTAACCACGAGATAAGTGAACTTGTACCTGGAAACTTGCATTGAAAAATGCTCAGTCTTGTGGGCATAATTGTCTGCTTAATAAAGAAATACTGAAGGAATATGCAGGGTTTATTTATGCATATTTATATGTGTAGTCATTCCTTTGCAGGAAATATGGAGTTCTCTTTGGGATCCAATCCCCTAAACTTCTATTAATTTATTTTTCTTTTGAATGCTTAATTATAACTAATTATACCCATATATATGTATATGTGTGTGTGTATATGTATATACTCAAATATTAATATACCATGTGTTGATGTTGTTGTACAATTATATTAACAATTCTTATTCAATGTTCTTCTTGTTTCTTTTTTTCGTATAATTTCATCTGTTTACCGAAAACAATTTCCTTATAACGTGCGTTCTAAATTCGATGTTTGGATGTTTATTGATGTCGTTGCAATACTCGTTAATGATGGATCATCTTCCATTTAATCCCACACACTGAAACCGCCCCACCTGAAACCACCTGAAACCACCCGACACCCAAACACAACAAACAAAACCAATCTATACAATATATATGTTGTTGTTGTGAAATGTTTGTTAAATGTTTTAATTAAATGCACACACTGTATCGATGCAAAACGAACCGAAATATTATCCACATGCAAAATAATCAAAGGCCCTCAAATTTCCGCAGACATTATCAATGCCCAGTACACGGTGGAGACCCTGGTGATGGCCGTGCTGGCCGGATCGATATTCTCGCTGCTGGTGGGCTTCTTTACAGGCTACTTCTGCGGCAGGCGTTGCCACAAGGACGAGGACGACAATCTGCCGTATCCGGACACGGAGTACGAGTACTTTGAGCAGCGTCAGAATGTCAATAGGTGAGTGAGCAGTCCGCTTATCCATTATACACTTATCACTGAGTACTTTTGCGATTTTTCCCCCCACCCCAGCAGTTTCCCATCGTCGTGCCGCATACAACAGGAGCCGAAGCTGCTGCCCCAGGTGGAGGAGGTGACCTATGCGGAGCCAGTGCTGCTGCCACAGCCACCGCCGCAGAATAAGATGCACTCGCCGAAGAATACGCTGCGCAAGCCGCCCATGCATCAGATGCACCAGGGACCCAACTCGGAGACGCTCTTCCAATTCCAGCCGGACGGCTACAACACACAGCAGACATATCGCGGACGCGACAACTTTGGAACGTTGCGCTCCCACCAGGTGATGGTGAGTATATTATCCCCTGTACTGTATGTATATATGTAATTTCCATCTCTCCCCCCCAAAAACAGGGTGACAACTATCGACGCGGCGATGGCTTTTCGACCACACGCAGCGTCAAGAAGGTAAGTTTGTTCACACCATAACTGGCTGTGGCGATTGATTGTTTTCATTTGCGATTATATCGTATCGTACAACTACAACTAAAACTACAACTAAAACTACTACTAAAACTACTACTAATCTCTAATCGTAACTCTAATTGCGCTCTTTCGATGTTGTTGACATTTATTGACATTAGTTAACTTAACTAACTCTAAGTCTAAGTCGGAATACCTTGTGGTGCGCTTGTATTTGATTGAACTCTCCTCCGCACACTCGTCGATTGGTGTATTTCTTAGACTCACTTTTCAACATATGTACTTATGTGTTTGATGTATGTATGTATGTATTGTATTCATCTACTGTTCATGTGTGTGAGTGTATGAGTATATGAGTGTTTAAGCACATACATTTCATTTAGCTATCATCCACATAAATGTTGCACTTACTAATTGTGATTGATTGATTGATGTTGCATATTTTCATTATTTTAGTTTAACTATTTGTCGTACCATTTGCATGTCTATTTCTTATTTTGTCATAGGTACATACATCAATGTTTATTTTTAGTTTATTAAATAAATGTAAGTCATGGCAGGGTATACTAAAACTTATTGAAACACCTATGAAATCTGTCTAAAATCTATATATTTATTATAAACATCCATTTAGAGTTTATATTTTTGTCAATTGTTTGCTTCTTTTGGGCTTACTTAAATCATTTAACCCATTCCTAAACCCCACTAAGAATATCATATGCCATCTGTGTATATATGTACATATATCATATATAGGAAAAAATCCCCCTGTTAATCATCATCAAGCATTCCTTTCTTTTGCCTATATCTAATGTATCTCTTCGTATCTCTTGGGTTATTGTCTTCAAGTTGGAAATACACCAATCGTTCGAATTGAGTTGGGTTGGATCTTTGCAGGCCCCCTCGCTCTCTCTTGCTCACTCTATCTCTCTCTCTCTCTGTCTGAGCATTTTGTATAGCTAATATTCCTAACTCAGAGAAAAAACACTTTCTATATCGTTACTAACTTCTTCATGCTATCGAACTATTCTCACAAGAAAACTATTCAAAACTCACAAAAGAACAGACTGCCAGACTGCACACTTAACAAACATGAAAATACCTCAAAAAGAAAACAAAAACCAAAACAAAAAACCAAAAACTCTATCTCTATCTTTTCTCTCTTCTTTTTCCCTTTTTTCATCAGGTTTACCTTTGAGACGGGAGTGGGGCGGCTGAAACCAGTCAGGGACTAATTACCCAAAATATGGTAAATACTTTATGCATAACTAAAGCAAATTTAGTTCATTTATTTCACCCAACTTTTTATTCATATGTTTTCTTTGTTTTTTTTTATATATATATTTTTGGCTTTTTTTTTGTTTACCGTCTTCCATTTTTTGTTGCCGGGTTGGGGGACTTATTTTTTTTTTCGGTTTGACTTCCCGTTCAATAATTTGTTTCCAAATATTCTGCTCAAAAGCTGCAATGTGGAAGCTCTCGTCACATGGAGCTCAACAGAAATTCGCTAGGCAAAAAGTAATTTCTGATAATATTCAACATTTTGAACAAATTTGCTCACCTTTCGATCTTGTTTCGATCTCTGTTTTTTTTTTGTTTTTGGTTTGGTTTGGTTATACATTATGTTCGTTTTTGAATAGATCCGTTCCGTAGGCACCAAGTTGATGAAGATTTCGTTGTTTGTTCTCTCTCTCTCTATTAAATCTCTCTCTTAAGTCACTGTTTTCTTTTGGTTCCACATTATATATATTTGCGAATGCCAAAAACGAAATTCTCAATCGATCAATCAGTTGAATCAGCTTAATCAGTCAATGGTTGTCAATGTACAGTCCAGTCAGCCAGCCCGCGCCCAACTCGCTTCGTTGTCAGTCCAGCGCCGCCTCTCCCTGCTCCAACCCATGTCTGATCTGATCTCTGTGTGCCTGAGGGTGTGTGTGTCTGGGTGTATGCTTTGGGTTGGACTTAGCGCTATACTATATACTCTAAGAACTGTCTACCAAACACACACTTGAATCGCTTGAACTCTACTGCATGGGGCGCCGTTCTTGACTGCTCCCAACAAAAACCAAAAAACAACAACAAAAGAAACACCCAAGAATCCTTCTTCAATGATTAACTGCTCAACAAGCGTGTCCACATTAGATATATACATATATACGATATATCCAAGCCACCATACAACTACCATATGTAACTGCAATAATAATACTACTCTCCCCAACCACGATACATGTACTCTAGTAACCTTTTAATTTCGATATATAATTTTATGCTACATGAACATTTCATTTTATTGCTTGCCAACTAAAAAAAAAAAACCCCCACCCGATTGGATCACCTGAGAAATCGCCAAAAAAAAATAGATCAAAAGTTGCAATGCTTGAAGATCGGATTGAGAATATTCAGTAATCATTTAGAGTTTATCATTTCGGAGCCAATAGAGCCCCAAACATTATAGAACATTGAAATTGTCTTTGCCTTGCAACATTTGAGAGCCACAAAAATTGACTGCAACGTTTTTTTTTTTCCTTAGATTAAAAAGCAAATTAAAGCATATGTTTTTTTTTATTGTTATAATTATATATTTTGTTCCATTGTAAACATATGAATATATATCTTTTCCGAACTGAATAGCGATTAACGATTAACGAATAACGAATATGAATATATAAGAAAGTAAATGACACTCCAACCCCTAGGCTGTAAACAACACAAACACACGAAACAGAAGTCTTGGTCGCGCAAGAAGACAGCCGCCCCGTCATGGCATTGGTAAGTTTCTACTCTCTACTCTACTCTACTCTACTCCTCTCTACTCTACTCTTTCGGTGCCCGTTATCTTTACCAACACACGCACACACACAGAGAGACACACACACACATATACACTCACACAGAACGTGCCTTCACTCTACCCTCTCTCTCTCTCTAACCGCTGTGACTTTCTCTCTCTTGCTCTCTGAATGATCTTTGAAATGGTTGGACGCCTCAATTGGATATTTAGATCTACTGAAACATCCATGTGCCATGCCATATAATTTTTGGATTTATTTAACCCTAAATGAAATCATTATTTATTTTATGCCCACATATCTTAGCTCTGTAACTGTAGTAGCTGTCTGTGTGAGTGTTTATGTGCATGTTGCAACAGATATTCGATTCGATGTTTGCCATTCCATTCCAATATTCAAGCCTCAATATTTGTGCGTGTGTGTGTGTGTGTGTGTTTTGTGTGTCTATGCAACATGCACCCAAGCACTTGTACAATGTACATACAAACATACGAGCATAGCATATCTCTGTGGCTGTGTGGCTGTATGTCTGTCTCTTGTCTCCACTGATCTGACCTATAAAATCTGTATGTTTATCTTAATATTTTGTTTTGCTTTCCCCCTTTGCAGTAACTCAACATCGCTCGAATAGCCCCCAGCCACAATTACAGCAACAGCAGCAGCAGCAGCAGCAGGCACAACAGCAGCCGCACTCCAGCTCCGGCTCGTCGCCGGTAATGTCGAACAGCAGCTCCAGTCCGGCGCCACCGTCGAGCAGTCCCAGCCCCCAGGAGAGCCCCAAGAACTGCAGCTACATTTACCGTGATTGATTGATATGCAACACCAAGTCGATGCCCCTCATTCAGGCCATGCCCACGCCCACGCCAACGCCCATGCCGACGCCTATACCCACGCCTATGCCACACCCAGTCGCCGCTCGCGTCCAGCAGCAGCAGCATCATCAGAGCCCAATCTTCAAGACCTATGCCAAGTCGATGCCTGTGACGCCCATACAGCCGCAGTCACCGGTGGAAGAGACGCCCTCCTACGAGCTCTACGAACGCCACGCCCGCTCCGATGCCACATTCCACTTCGACGACGACGATGTGGATGATGATGATGACGATGATGATTTGGAGGATACATCATCGCTGGCCATGATCACACCGCCGCCACCCTACGACACACCCTACCTACTGGCGAGAAGGACCTGCAACAGTGCGGCGGCTCTATCGCCGCCACTGCCGCCACCGCGCAGGTTCCGCTTCGGCAATCGGGAGTTCTTCAGCATGAGTCCGGGTGGTGGCAGTGCCACGCCCACATCCACATCCAAAGGCAGCGCCATAACACCCACAAAACTGAGCGCCGCTGCGGCGGCCATGTTCGCTACCCCACAAATGGCCCAGTTGAACCGGAAGTGGGCGCATCTGCAGCGGAAGCGGCGACGGCGGAACAGCAGCTCCGGCGACTCCAAGGAGCTCGACAAACTGGTGCTGCAATCGGTCGATTGGGATGAGAATGAGATGTATTAGGCATTAGATATGTAGTGGCATCAGTTGTATGGTTTACGAGTGCTAACGATCCTGGCAAGATCTGGGTCTACAAATATCGTTTCGATATCTCCAAAGTGGGTCTAGGGCTGAGGCTGAGGCTGAGGCTGATAGTGTTGCTATTATGTATATCCTTCCCCCTTCTCCACTTATCAGCGCTTGCCTCCACCCAAGTACATTTTGTCGCGTGTAAGACGATAATAGTTTGCATTTTTCCCATTTACGATAGCAGCTGGACGGGGATATACTTAGACACACAGAAAGCCAGAGAAATTATACACGAAATTTATATAGTTATATATATATATATATAGCCTATACATATACCCAGGTCTGCTAGCATACATGCAAAAACATACGTATATATACCATATACCATATACATACACACACGAGTATATATAGCTCGAGTTTTGTGGCGGGGGCTAAGCTAATGTAGAGCCAGCAGCAAACGAAACGATATTGTTAATTAACATTGATTGAGAACAGAGAACAGTCAACAGTTTGTATATATTAATCTTAGAGTTGGAGTTGGAGTTGAAGTTGAAGTTGAAAAACGTAACGTAACGTAATGTAAGGCAAGGCAAAACCCTTATTTGATTAGAGGAGTATACGCGATATACACACACGTTTTTGCATTTAAAAGCCAGACAAATGGAAAAATAGAAGAAATTTACAAAACAAAGAAGAGAAAAACAAAACAAAACGAAACGCTTATTACTGATTTATACAAAAACAAAAAACAAAACAAAACGACAACAAGAAGTACTCGTAAAATACCAAAATAGTAGGGCAAACAAATTAGTCTTAAGGGCAGCATTGCGTTCGTCATTCAGATCCGGAACTGCCAACCGCAACAGGAAATACGCTCCAAAAATATATATTCTCTCACACATCACACCACACCAAATCACACACACACACACACACGCACACACATACAGAATCTATTATCGAGTGCATTTTCTAAGGTCAATTTTTAGTTGCAGAGCCTTAAGCTTCTTTTACAATTTCAATCTGCTTCAGAAATCTGCTATAGAAATGTGTAAATTATGTACAGGACTCTCTATACATACATACATACAAAGTAATCGTATTCAGCCGATCCAATGATCCAAGCAACTGTACAGATATACAGATTATATGTGCTATATGTGCCATAAATAGGGGGCGGGCCCGCTTTGAGTTTAGTTGTTATATTTTGCATTGCATTTAGGATGGTACTTTACCGGTGACAAAATGAACATATATATATCTATATACGTATATAAAATGATTATATACCTATATACGAGTATATATGATGAGTATAAGTATGATTATGAGAAGGGGGTAAAGGTAAAGGTAAAACACATTAATTCCGTGTAAAGTGATCGATCAAAATTTAGTGAAAGCATTAACTAAACTTTAGCCTAGCCACATAGGGTTTGTATTATAGATTAGGCAATAGAGAGCATAATGGATAAAGGATAGTGGATATAGTATGGAGAACTTTTGATGATATTTGCACTAGGGGCATTGCGAATGTTGTTCTCATAATAGAGTATATATACACACACACAATACATAATATATATATACATATAGGTATATAGTATAGGATAAGCTAACCGATATTCAAATATTTTGTATGGAAAAACCTTAACATCCGATTAAATTCAAATATTGTATGGAACACTCGAGGCATTGCAAGTTGCAAGACTCTCTGCACGAGAAAAAAAAGCGTAGAAATATCTAAATCAAAGCAAATTTGTAAGAACAATTAACAAATTGTAGAGTAAACAATAACTAAATAAATACACACACACCACACACATAGGCGACACTCAACGATATGTACTATATAATACATAGAAGGTTATGTACATAGTTATATACTTTATGGAGTGGAGCAGCAATTTAGCGCTTTTATATGCAATTTTACTTTTTGACAAAACGTATACAAGCCGTAGGAAATTAACAGAATCAGAACGAAAAAAACTTCAAACGAATGCAATACATTTAGACAGCCAAAGACACACAATTATTATTACGATTATAATTTGTAATCATCATAATTATTTGTGCTGACATATTTTATTTAGTTTTAGTTGTAAATACACCCCAATTGTACATCTATTATTTATGGGATTTTATTGCACTGGTTCACTATCGTATATACTATCCATTAGCTTTGGTTTATTTAGTTTTTACTCTTTGTTTTTCTCTTTGTTATTAACAATCAAGTGTGTGTCAAAGTACTCGAAAGCAATATGAGCAACACGTAACAAACAAACAAACAAATATATATTATGGTATAATTCATAAGCAAAAGGCAAATCAAACAAAAGTCAGACACATAGCAGCAGCAGCAGAATGAATGGGAATGAATTAGGAATACCCTTAGGAATACACTAGGAGTTTGAACTAATTCTAGAACTACATAGATACATACATAAATTCAACTACTTATACAATTGCATACACGACGAGTATTAGCTCGAAATCAGATCATTAACTTTTATACACTTTACCATTTACATATACTATATATATACAACAAGCGAACAGAATACCGATTTCATAATATATAGTACACGGCAACCGAATATGTAGTTAGTTGTACTCATATAGTAATTTAGAGTCAGGCTGCAATTGAAAGGTTTTACAGTGAATCATGCCTACAAAGAAAACAAACAAACAAACAAACAAAAAAACAACCAGCAACCAACAACAACAGCACACACATTAAAAAAGATCCATGAATATACCGATTATATATATATATATACCTATATATATACTTATACATATATATATGTATATATAGATGACCCACTTATTAGATACTTTAGAAGAGAGATTCTCTAGAGATGCTTTTAAAAACAAAACAAAATCGAAAATCCCAAAAAAAATGAAAATGAACAAACAAAAATAAATGAATTAAGCAAATGAAAAGTATTTTATTAAAACACGACTCTCGATTACTCGGTTACCCGATGAAGGGGTAGCCAGTGTAAAACAGCTAAAAGATAGAACATACAATACCCATATATATACAATTTCTTAAAACTTCTGCAAACGCGAAACACACAAAAACAACAACAACACTCATGAGATCAACAAAACTCAGAAACTTTTTTAGAAGAGCAGCCCGACCCACTGTGGTTCGGATGAAGATGAAAATGAAGATACTTTAATGATACATTGTAAGCTAATTGAAAACGACTTTTAACTTTCTCCAAATAAGACGTAACGAAACGAAACGAAACGTAACGATTATTAGCCATGTATGCCGATACCGAAAACAGTTTGTAGCGAGCGCATTCGTATTTGCTATTTAGCAATTAATTATACAAAAACAAAAAAGAAGAACAACACAACCGGCATTAACAAATTAGTGACAAAACGCGAGACCCTAGAGAGCGGAAATATAAAAAACAGAAAAACAAAAAAATAGGGAGGAGTAGGAATGGAAAACTAAGACACACTCAAGTTTTCATTTTTCCATTAAAACGATATATATTCAAGTGCTTCTTACATAAAATAAATATATATATATATTATACATATATATAAATGATATATAAAATGAAGATTACATGGTAGATATTATTATTACGATCGTAAGAGGAAGGCGGAAGGCATTGACATTATGAATACCTACTAACTAGTTTAAGGCATTTACTATAATACAAATAAAACTCTATTATGATTATTATGTTTTGTGAGCGAACACGGAGCGAACTATTACAGATTACAGATTAAAGAGCAGTTTTAGGGTTAAGCCTTATACTACCTATGCACGATGATTCCTTCCTCCCCCGCGGATAATCGTGTCGTGCCGTGCCGTGCCGTGCCGTATCGAGTCGTGGCACGAAGCGTTTGGTTTTATAATTTCTAAGTAGCCAGCTCTCTCTATGCAAATAGTATACATATATACATACACGAACAAACAAACAAACAAACGTAATCGATGCATTTTACTTACTTGAAAAGCCATCAATGAAGCAAAGTTAAAGCAAATTCATGATTCAATTTATATAATTATGTTAAGATTTTATAACGCAACAAGCCTAACGTATACATTACCTATATGAATACTATAATACGAGACTTTGTAAATAATACTTCACCAAGACAAAAATAAAAAATAATCTTTCATTCGAGCAAAACAAAAAAAAAAAACAAAACCAAGGACAAAAACATCAAAAATCATAACGAAACGAAGTGAAACCAATAACCGATTTTCTCCGCCTTGGTTCCAACCACAAGACCACACCACACAATGCCCCTCCCCCAATTAAACACACGATCCACACACGATCCACGGACAGGAGATGAGTATGTTATGCATTCTTTAGCGGTTACAAATACGTAAGGATAAATTTAAATTGTTGAATATGTAGCGCAAGCATAATTGAAGATAACGAAGGAATAACAAACAAATATTTAACCAAAATAAGTTACAAAACGCTATACACAAAAAACGGTACTTCCAAGCAACTATAGAGCTAACAGCAAACCATTTAAACAATTAAACAGCAAACTTATTGAATGAAGTTAAACGAATTGAATTGAATTGAATTCCGAATAGATCCTCACCCTCCACAAAACTACGGTTCGATGTGGTTCCCAATCCCTTTCACTATCTCTTCCATAAAACTCCGCTCCCTACCAATCAGGAATTCTCCATAATTTCGAATTAAGTTCGAACCAAACGCTTCAGAAAATTTACACAAACGCCCAACATCAACACACAGCGAACTTTTGTGCAGAACGTGTTGCGAAATCGGTAAATCAGAACAGCAAAACAGCAGAACAGTGAGAAGAAGATGAAGATCAACATGAAGAACATCCGTTAAATGAAAGACAAGAAGAACAAAAAATTGTTAGTAAAAAGACTGAGCTACAAAATATACAAGAAAACAAAAACAAAAGAAATAAAAAAGCAAACAAAAAACTCTATCGATATAGATATATCGAAATCGAGACAAAAAGCTAAACAAAAGCAAATTAATGAATACCTTTGATTTATTGAGGAGTTTATTAATGTGCATTTTCTGCGTAAACGGTTTTCTAACTAGACGCTTGACTAGAATTTCATTTAATTTCGTTCGGTTCGATTCGATATGATTTGGCCCAATTGAGAGAAGTTCCTAGCACGCAAGCATTCTCGTAATATCAATCAGTAAGTGAATCAATCAATCAATCAATCAGATCCGATCAGATCAGAAAGGAACTTCTGCCTATCATTGTTAGTCCAGGCCATAATGATTACTTTTTGGGCAGCAAAAACTCATTCATTATCTGATAGCTGATGTGTGCCATAAAAATACGTAAATTGAGAACTTTTGTTTCCGTTCAGAACTCGAGATTGTATTGAGATTGAGGTGCTTTCTATTCTTTGGTCACTGCCACAGCATAATCGAGATTTAAAAATACCTAGAACATATATATATATATACATATATACAAATATAGAACACGTATATATGCATACACTTGCTTTTAGCTTTCCTAGAACTCTGATTTCCATACTTGAACGTACAGTAAGCTGCGAGTAATAGGAATTAGTCTCAGACACGAAATAATCAAACTCAAGGCGATAAGAGAATGCGATTCGATTCGAAACATTTACAATTAATTCCACTCAAAAACAGAACCGAACTAAACGAATCGAAGCGAAGCGAAGCGGAGCGAAGCGAATAACATAATACTTATATCGAGACAGCGCATTCAATTCTGAAGCAAAGCAACAAACAAACAAACAAAAATTTAACACGCAAAGCTAAAAGGGAAGCAGATAAATGAAAACAACAACCACATATTATTAATGATTATTATATTGTATTATTATAACTGAAAATATTTAGATGAAATGACGATTCTTAATTATAACACATTATTATAGATACATACTGAACAAACCGATACAACAAAAAAAAACAACAAAAAAAAGAAACCATAAAAACCAAAAAACAGAAAATGAAACCAAAAAAACAAACGGGAACGGAGAAATGGGAATCGAAAATGATTAATAAAAATGAAAAATATAGAGAATATTATATTATGAACATTCCCCCAATGCCTTTCAATCTTTTTCGCATGTATTTCTTTCTGACTGCCTGTCTGAATACTCTGACACTGTTCTGGAATAGTAACCTATACAGTTTTGAATACTTAAAATAGTAATTAGCTTGCTGGTCTTCCAACTCTTTTTCTAGCTCTCTTCATTAATAACTTTCCAAGTAGTTTGTTCCAAATTTAATTACAGATTGGTTGAGTATTTTCTTAGACGTGTTTCTCCCATAGAAAAGATTCGGCTGTCGGTCATCAGAATCAGTAATCAGAAGATAAATAAGTAAAGTCTTTGTTTTGTAATGGTTATCAAAGCTCTGCCGTGTTAAAAATATCAATCGGTGATCTTGCTGGAGAATGGAGTAAGGGGCCGCATACTTTAAAGACTCTATAAACTGACCGCACAGACCTAATCAGCTGGTATATAGTGATCGTACCTAGGGCCATTTCTATCAGCAATGCTCCAATGGCGAAACATGGCTGGCCCCACGAACTGACAGCTGACAAGAGGAGCTGCACCCATCCAGCATACGCACCCCAGACTGATAACCCAGAGGCAGACGCGCACACAGAACGGATGAGATAAGGACCGGACCCAGCAGCGGAGCCAAGAACATGGAGAACAGCAGATTGAAGCCGGTGACGACATCGCCAAGTGGAACTAAGACTTCGAGGGCAGTCGCAGAACTAGCTGGAAGGCGCAGTCTCTCAATCTCTTTGTTGCTCAACGCCACCCCCTTTGCGTCCAGGTCCAGCCAGAGAACTGTTGAGTTTTGTAGACTACTTTCGGAGCCCGCCCCGTGGGTCACTCGAATCAAGGCTGCTGACTGCTGGGTATAGATAGTGTGTGAGCTAGTCAGTCCGTAGAAACTAAATCCGAAATCAGTTCCCATTCAATCCCGACACAGAGAGCAACATGCAGCCGTTGCCTTCCTGGGTCCAGCTGGTGGCGTTGGCACTCTGCGTTTGCCAGATCTGCGCCCTCCCAAACCAGCTTGGGTCCGATGAAATCGACTATGCCGAATTGGACAGGAATGAAGGGCCATTCACGCCTCAGCCACTAAGGCCACCCCCTTGGCAGGAGGCTCAGGCGGCGACCCCACAGGAGGCGCGTGTGCAAGTTCCCGGAGTGGGAGACATAGTCGGTGTACGCGGCTATAAGACAATCTCGAATCGTCCCATCAATGCATTCCTTGGCGTGCACTACGCTCAAGTGGGTGCCGGTCTGGGACGTTTCCAGCAGGCCAAGGCCGTGCCCTTCCAGGGTAGAGTAGATGCCACCACAGCCAGTCCAAATTGTGCCCAATTTCCGGAGCTGCAGCGACTGCAGACGGCCGAGGCACGCGGAGAGAACGTTGACGACTGTCTGACCCTCGACATCTATGCGCCGGAGGGGGCGCGCGATCTGCCCGTCTTGGTCTTCGTGCACGGCGAGATGCTGTTCGATGGCGGCGCCGAGGAGGCCCAGCCGGACTACGTGCTGGAGAAGGACATTATCCTCGTATCGATCAACTATCGCCTGGCGCCCTTCGGATTCCTTAGCGCCCTCAGCGATCAACTGCCTGGCAACGTGGCGCTCTCGGACATCCACCTGGCGTTGGAGTGGCTGCAGCGCAACCTTCTCTACTTTGGCGGCGACTCCGGAAAGGTGACCCTGGTGGGTCAGGCAGGCGGCGCTACTCTAGTTCATGCCCTCAGCCTCAGCGGCCGTGCAACCAACCTCTTCCAGCAGCTCATCCTGCAGTCCGGCACGGCCCTGAATCCTTACCTGATCGACGAACGTCCTCTGGAAACTCTGGCCACGTTCGCGCGCCTCGCCCGCTGTCCCTATGCCGGACGCAGTTTGGCACCGCTCTACGACTGCCTCAGCCGCCTGCCCACCTCCCAAGTGGTCAGCGCCTTCGAGCAGCTGCTGCAACAGAACGAGGCAAGCGGCCTCAGCTTTCTGGGCGGGTTCAAGCTGGTGGTGGGCGATCCCCTTGGCTACCTACCCGATCATCCTGCCGCACTGGCGGCCAACTCGGCCAACAGCTCGGTGCCCATGATTGTGGGTGCCGCCAAAGATGCCAGCGCCTTCATTCTATCACGTGAGTGCCAAGCTAAGCTAAGGAAATTGTGTCAGGTTGGGTCAGATCTGCGATAAGACTATCGGAATGGACTGAAAGTCCAGTGCAGGCCCAACCAACGAACCAACCAACCAACCGATTAGTGAATATTTTGATGAATCATTGTGAACTTGGACTAATAACCTTCCTTTCCATTTCCTTCTAGGCTTTTACGACCAGATACAGCGCGTGCAGTCGCAGAATGTGAGCGAATACATCAATGTGGTGCTGCGCCACACAGCGCCTCCAAGTCAACACCGGGTGTGGCTGGACTGGGCGCGTCGCGAGATCTTTTCGCCGGAGCATGATCGCACGGCCAGTGCGCAAAGTGTGTCGCAGGGACTGTTGGAGTTGAGCAACATGATCCTGTATCGGGCACCCGTCATCTACTCCATCCGCCTCTCGCACAAGAAGAGCCCCGTCTACTTGTACACCTTTGACTATCGGGGAGAGCATCATCGGTTCGGCCATCTGGACAATCCGCTGCCCTTTGGTGTGGACGCCTCGCTGAGCGATGACAGCGTGTATCTGTTTCCGTATCCGCCGGAGGCCAGCCGCCTGAATCCGGTGGACAAGTCGCTGTCGCGCGCACTGGTCACCATGTGGGTGAACTTTGCCGTTACGGGCATACCCAATCAAAATGCTGGTGTCTGGCCGAAGGCCACTTCCGAGTACGGCCCCTTCCTGCGCTTCACCAACTCCAGGCAGAGTATGCTGGAGCTGGACCCACATTTCGGTGACGGACTCAACGCTCCGAATCTCTATGGCCAGTACTTCAATACAACCAACAGCACAGCGGCTATAACAACAACTGTAACGACAACAACAACAACAACAACGACGACGACCAGACGTCCGTATGTCTACAATCCGTATGCTGGCCAGCAGCAAAACCCCTATCCCTATGGCTACAACACAACAACCAGAACTTCCACGACGACTACCAGGCGTCCAACGTATGCGTACAACCCGTATGCTAACTGGCAGCCAAACCGACAGCCGCAACCGGCGCAGCCGTTTCCAAGGAGGCCAACGGATCCTGCATACGAAAGAGTTCAGGAAATCCGGCGGCAACAGGTGATACGAGAGCAGCAAGAGCGCGAGCAGCGTCAGCGAGAACAGCGCGAAAGGGAGCAGCAAGAGGCTCAGCGCCGCGAAGAGGAGGAACGAGAACAGCAGCGTGTGCAAGAGCAGCGAGAGCAGGAAGCCCAGCGAGAATTGGAACAGCGCTACCAGCTGCAGAGAGAGAAGCTCCAGCGAGAACAGCAGCAGCGAGAGCAGCTAGAAAGAGAACAGAAGGAGGACCAGGAGCAGCAGCAGCGAGAGCGAGAACAGCGCGAACAAGCGGCAAGGGACGAATGGGAGCGAAACCAAGAACGAGCGCAAGTACCTCAAACTCCGCAGGAGGAGTTGGAGCAGCGTCAGCGGGAGTGGGAGTGGGAGCAGGAGCAGCGTGAGCGGGAGCAGCGTGAGCGGGAGCAGCGTGAGCGTGAGCAACCAAACCATCCAGAGGAACAAGACGAGCGGGAGCTGGATGAGAGGGAGCAACAAGAAAGAGAAGAACAGCAGCGACAGGAAATACTTCAAGAACAGCGACGTCAGTACGATCAGCGTCAGCGGGAACAGCAACAGCGAGAGCAGGAGCAGCGAGAGCGGGAGCAACCAAACCTTCCAGAGGAACAAGACGAGCGGGAGCTGGATGAGAGGGAGCAACAGGAAAGAGAAGAACAGCAGCGACAGGAAATACTTCAAGAACAGCGACGTCAGTACGATCAGCGTCAGCGAGAACAGCAACAGCGAGAGCAGGAGCAGCGAGAGCAACAAGCTAGAGAGCAGCAGGAGCAACAAGAGCAGCAGCAGCGCGAACAAGAGCAACGAGAGCAGGAGAAGAGGGATCAACAGGAGCGCGAGCAGCAGCAGCGAGAAGAATTGGAGCGTGGCCAGCAGCCGCACGAGCCAAATGAGCCGGAGGATGATCAGGAGAGCTCTCGCAGGCCCTATGCAAACTACGACGACTACTTGGGAAGAGACGAGGAGGGAGAACCGGTCGACTCTGAACCCGAAAACGAGCAAAGTTCGAACCCAACCTATTCCGAGGAGCAGGAACGAGAGCAACAACAACGCGAGCAACTGCATCGTGAACAACAGGACAACGTGGCTCAGAACCCGCCTGAAGGTGAGGATCCCGCCGCATACGCAAGCTTCGACGATTACCTCAGAGCGGAACAGGAACGTCGTGAGGCAGAGGAACGCGAATGGGCTGAACAGGCTGACAGGACTGAACCGGAGGGCTGGGAGGACTCTCGCCCAGAATATCCAGGCTACCGACAGCACGCCAAGCAGTTGCGCAGACAGCAGCGACCCAAGCTGTAGCATTCATATACCATTGAAAGAATCTTGAGTACTATTCTAAAGAGTTCTTTATTAAATATTATATCATATGAGTAATCAATACAAATTTGTAGTGCAAGATCTGGCCGGACGTTCTCCATCAATGGGCATTTCCAGTGGAAAATCATCCGCCCGCTCAGATACAGGCTTTAAACTATACCTATTGGCTCAGTGCATGGCTTTATAGCCGTATCTTGTTGCGATTTGGTCGCTTCACCAGACTCTTGCGGACCTCAAGCTTCTTCATTCTATTGGCAGTTGCCGCAGCCAATTGCTTTTTGCGCTGTGCCTTGGCCCTCTTGCGACTTTGGCTACGGAGATAGTAGATTTCGCGTATCAGACTGTGGCCCTGATCCTCGTCGCGCAGCGTGGCGGAGAACTCATTGAAAAAGTTGCCTCCAATTGTCAGCGTCTCGTCGATTTTCATGTACGGGCCGTACAGCGTGGTCATTGGCGGCCAATAGCCGGACCGATAGGAGCCCAGGGGATTGCCGCTGATCACAAAGTTTGTCCACAGTTCGACCATGCGATGGGCCATCGTCTCGTCCGGCGGACTCAGACGCTCCACATGCTGGGGATAGGGAAAGAGGTAGAGGGCCTCGTCGGTCAGCGAGACACCCGCCTTGAACGGACTCTGCATATTGGTCTCCTCGTCCATTTCACGATACCTATTGAACTCGCCCGCATAGTCGAAGGAGTAGAGGAACGTGTTGTCCGGATTATGTTTGTTGTTCATATTCAGCGCCAGCAGCACGGGTAGCTTGTGATTCAGGGTTCCAGCCACCTGTAAGACCATTGGAACATTAGCATTAAAGATCTATGTGAATCAAATGGGGCGGGAGGTTCGCTTACATCGATGAGCCTGGGAATCAGGGTGTCGAATGTTCCGTTCTCGAGTAGCTGGCGATTGAAAAAGTCGTGCGTGACGAAGCTGGTGAGCAGCATGGTCTTGTCGGTGCCCACCACCTGCCTGATCACATGATCGATGTAGTTGTAGGTATTGTACTCATCATCTGGGATCTTTCCCTCAAAGTCGTTGTCCACTATCTCATTGAGGACTCGGGTGCCGGCATTTTTCGGACAGCCCCCCATGGCCGGATAGGAGAAATTGGACTCCAACATGAGATCGTACGGGTGCTTGGGCAGCACGCCGCTCGGCCCACCAATCGTGAACTGTATGCCGCCCGTGTGTCCAATGCCCAGGTCAGATTTCTCGAGCTGTTGTGATAGGGCGCTCATTAATTGGACATTGCCTTTAGCTGGAGTGTGTATTTACTTACCGCATGTTCCATGAAAGCGGTTAGCAGCTCCAGTGCCGTGAGCTCCATGAGGCAAGTGTTCAGGTCTCGCACTGTCTTCATCAGGCAGTCAGCCTTCTTGGCTATCTCCTGGGCATGCTTGCGGGGATCCTCCTCGAGAAAGATGGGCATGATGGCCGAGCCCGAGTGGTAGATCACCTGGCTGAAGAGACCCCGCTGCACCATCGGCGAGAGGGTCAGCAGATGTGCAATGGCCGCCCCACCCACCTGTCCCGCCACAGTGACACGAGCCGGATCGCCGCCAAAGTACTGGATGAAGTGCTTGACAAACTGCAGCGCTAGAAATATGTCCAGGAATCCAGCGTTTCCGGGTATTTCATCTGTTTTGGTTGACAGGAAACCGAAGGGGCCCAAGCGGTACTGCGGCGTCACCAGCACCACATCCTTCTCGAGCAGATAGTCTGGCGGCGCCTCCGAGTTGCTGCCCTCGTACAGATACTCCCCGTGTATGTAGACCAGAACGGGCAGCTTGCCAGTCGCATTTGGCGTTGTGATGGTCATCGTAAGGCAATCCTCAACGTCCAGCACATCGTCCAGCTTGCGCAGCGAGTCCATCGACACCACCGAGGGGCATCCAATCTTCTCCGCTGTGGCATCCATTACATCTTCCCACGGTTCGATCGGTCGCGGTGCCTATTAAATAGAAACCAAATTCAAAATATCTAATGAGATGGCTGAGAACATACTCGATCCTAGAGTGGATAGTAGTGGATCGCCCGTCACGCGGCAGACCGGTGTGCCATTCCCCGACTCGTCGGGGAGATTCCGATATTTTCGTTTTTGTTTTTTCATATTTTTCTTTACAGAATTTAATTTGGTGAGATTTGCATATTTTTGAAAGTTTATAGGAGCAGAAACCGGATAACCAATCAAGCTGAACATTTCTATTCGAATTCGAATCATTTAAAATTAGCTCACAGTTTTCTTTCACTTTCTGATGCTTCCGTTCAGAAAGCATTAGTCAGTAGCGCGTATATGTACCTTGAATCGATGCTGACCAGTGGGGGGCTCGGCGTATCTGACGTCGACAAATTGTAGCACCTCCCGCTTGGTCCAGGCAGTCTCTAGAATTTTTCCCTGGATGCTGCCCAGCTTTGGTAGTTCAATGATAGTATCTTTCTCCTCGTCGTAGGCCTTGCCACGGACGCGTGCTTCCACACCCCAGTGCAAGACCAGGATGATAATGAGGAGGAGGCCGAGTGATACGCGCTGCATCTTGGATAACGCAAGATAACACAAGGAACCAAGAAGCCAACGCTCTCGATGGCGCTCAAAACGCAACTGATCTGTGCCGAGCGGTGTCTGATAGATTTTAGTCCGCTCTGACCCGAAGTTTCACCCCAGACCTGACCGACATACCCAAAAGAAGATTTCGCAAACGGAGAGACTAAAACAAAACGCAAAAATACGAATGACGCCTTGTCCCCGTGGTGTCTTGGTGTCGGTCCATAGATTTATGCAAATAATTAAGAATGGATTTCGCTGCTCCGGTTTCGTCTGCTACGGTCGCTTCGGTGCAAGTAAAAGGGAAAAGCACCGCGACAGAACGACGGTCCGAACTTGATTTGTCAGCTGGTCAGTCATTAGTTGCCGCGATTGATTAACTGGCGAATATATGCCGGCAAACATTGGGCATTCGCTTGAGTTTGTCTTTCTCACGCCAGCGATGACTACGGCGACGAAAGTGCGGGCAGAGCAGAGTCAGGGCATAATTCATTTCTGAAAAGCTGCGGGCGCTGCCTAATTTAAATTTTAGATTTTACCAAATTGATTTTACATATTCTCCTCGCTACTGGTATTCGAGGCCCATCGCGAATTATCAATCATCCCGAGCTGCTGGAGAAAGCAATGCCACGCTTCAATGTCCAAAGCGATCAACGACTTTTGCACTTAATGAGTTATTGAACTCTACTTATTTATTTTCAGATATGTCTTTCATTTAATAGACAAGGGAAGCCCCGGTACACCAGAAAATTATATGTATTATATGTATTTCCGACTGGAACTGACTCTCTTTTAATTAAGTTATCGGATGCCTACATGACATTTTATCGAACCTGCATACAGATTGTAGAACAAATGAGCTGTCAAGCTAAATGAGAGCTTGATCATCTTTCTAAACGTATATTTATGCAAATTTTGTTCGCAATCAACACATTCCCACTCCTCTTGTTCTCGTGCAACCCAAATATGATTTATTGTATCTATAGGGAGAACTCTAGTAACACTTTGATCATTGGCCAACTCAAGTTTATGTTTTCTCATATAATATTGCCAGGAAATCATTCAAATTATACTGCGATCTCCACTGTTTTTTATTGTTATTAAAAATATGTAAAAGATTATGACAAGCGAAAATATCGTTATTTCAGAAACGTATCGTTGATCTATTTCCCACAGTTCCATATGCTGATAGAATCGGACTTTGACTTTATGTTTTATTATACGTACATATTTATATACTAATTCTAATAATTATACTGTTATGTATTAGCATATTGTTATATGCATAATTTAATAGAAATATATATTTATATGTTGTTGTATATGTTGGAGACTCGGCTCCGATATTGATTTCGTTAGCCATCTTGAGATGAGAAAAAAAGATCGAAAACAGAGAGCAATGGAATACAAAGAGAGACATCAAACTAAATACCCCTTAACTTTTTTTTGAGTACGGGTACAAAAACCAAAAATAAAACTGCAGCGCCCTTTGCTTTAATTTAATTTTAATATCTCTTGTTTTCTTGTTTCTCTTTGTATTTTGTTTTTCTCTTTTTTCGCTCTCATTTTTCCCATTTTCTGCCTCCACTTTCCACCGCTCAAATGGCAGAAAACCGTTAAATTCAAATCTGAGATACCAGGCGCACATAAATCAGCAGAAGGTCGCTGCTTTTTTTAAATTCTCTTTTTTTCTTGTTTCTCCGTGTATTTCGTTGCTCTCTTTTTTCGCTCTCATTTTTCCCATTTTCTGCCTCCACTTTCCACCGCTCAAATGGCAGAAAACCGTTAAATTCAAATCTGAGACACCAGGCGCACAGAAATCAGCAGAAGGTCGCTGCTTTTTTTAAATTCTCTTTTTTTCTTGTTTCTCTTTGTATTTCGTTGCTCTCTTTTTTCGCTCTCATTTTTCCCATTTTCTGCCTCCACTTTCCACCGCTCAAATGGCAGAAAACCGTTAAATTCAAATCTGAGACACCAGGCGCACAGAAATCAGCAGAAGGTCGCTGCTTTTTTTAAATTCTCTTTTTTCTTGTTTCTCTTTGTATTTCGTTGCTCTCTTTTTTTCGCTCTCATTTTTCCCATATTCTGCTTCCACTTTCCACCGCTCAAATGGCAGAAAACCGTTAAATTCAAATCTGAGATACCAGGCGCACAGAAATCAGCAGAAGGTCGCTGCTTTTTTTAAATTATCTTTTTTTCTTGTTTCTCTTTGTATTTCGTTGCTCTCTTTTTTCGCTCTCATTTTTCCCATTTTCTGCCTCCACTTTCCACCGCTCAAATGGCAGAAAACCGTTAAATTCAAATCTGAGATACCAGGCGCACAGAAATCAGCAGAAGGTCGCTGCTTTTTAAAATTCTCTTTTTTTCTTGTTTCTCTTTGTATTTCGTTGCTCTCTTTTTTCGCTCTCATTTTTCCCATTTTCTGCCTCCACTTTCCACCGCTCAAATGGCAGAAAACCGTTAAATTCAAATCTGAGATACCAGGCGCACAGAAATCAGCAGAAGGT